CGTGCAAATCAAACAAAGACACTGCTGGTGTTTTCAGAAGAACGGACTGGCCACCCCTGAGTCCAGAACTCAACATCACTGAAAATATTTGGGATTACTTGGATTGTGAGCAGCAGCAAATACAACCAACTAAGAGGTCATTGGGTTGGCCATTGGTCTGAATCTTGGGGTTATCTACAAGTGTTATGCTCTGAATTGGGCAAAAATGTGGTTAGTATATGCATCCCATGAAGTTAGATTACAGAAGTACTTCTGCAATAAACAGAACATTTACTAAGTTTAGGTAATGTGAATAACAGGCCAGACTTTCATGAAGTGTACAGTGGCTAAGCAGTGCCCCCAAACTCTCACACAAGCAAGATGGATAGGGGGCTGTGCTAAGATCTCACATTGCACCCAAATGTTTGCAGTCTAGCGTTGGAACAGCTGCATAAAGAAATGTAGACGGCAGGGCTATAAACCACCAGTAGATTCAAACATACATACATGCACACACACACTCACAGGAAGACAACTCAAGCCACATGAGACATATAGCCACCATCAAATCACTCTTGTATGCTAACTTGAAAGACCACAAAATACAACCAAAACAGATACATTGTTCTCACACCCAGATTAGACCCGTCTGTCCCTAGCTTTGACACCAGGAGAGCAAGCAGGAAAGGACTGCCACATGCTTTTGATTTAGAGGAGTATTTTTTGCCATTCCTCTCATGCTTGTTGAGGCCAGTGACAATGCAGAGTTCCAACAGGGCCTTAAGCACTTCTCACGTTACAACAGCAGACCCTACCCAAATCCAGAAGTGCTCAGTAATGGACTTTTACATCAAGCCAATGTACCAGGGTTCATAAAAGTTAACGTGAAGGGTTATCTATTTACTAAAATAATCTCCAGATTAAGCCATTCTGATATGCGTTTTATTAATGCACTTGACTCAATGTGAGTGAAATGAAATAGTTAAACAATGACAGCTCAGTAGCAACTATGTTACAATGGACATGTCTTTATACCATCTATTAGTAATGCTGTATAGGTCTGTGAATGTGCCTCTGATAATGGAAGCGTTTTTGTTCTGTGTCATCTCTGTAGAACATTTCAAAGTGAAAATCTAACATAAAAGCACAACAACACAATTTTCATTCATTCAGGATCATGCATAGATGAGTCCAACCAGCACAGATCAGAGACACCTGCAGAGGAGGCAAATGTCACAAAAGAAGCAACTGAAGTTTTTAGAATCATAAACAAGGATTTAGGTTTGTGCATTTAAAATAACCTCAAAAAAAGAAATTCTCACCACTTTAGCTACAAAACACCCATAAGCACAGCTAGCCGGGGAATGTCAAGTGGAACTGCATTTAGCTGGATCCCATGATCCAGTTATCTATGCTCTCTGGCTGCCAGAGCCGGTTTTGGGGTGTAAAGCGGCACAGCAGGGATCAATAAGCTCTCCTTCTTATAGAAATTAATTTTTAATAAAAAGGAGACTCCTGATGGGCTGGGAGATAGCAAAGATGACCTTAAAAAGAGTGCACTGAAAAAAGACATCAAATCCACTGACAGCGGAGGGGAAATCCAAGCCTTAATCACACGTCCGAAGCTAAATAGCTCAAGATCAGCTAAGCTCATTCAGCCCTATGGTAATGACTGCCTGTTACAGCATTCATCTGTTTTAAGTAAACAGGAGGTGCAACCTTATATAGACGCATACCAGCGTGTTATACAAAGCAGAGATCAACCTGTAACCCAAAGGTTAAGAGACCAAGTGAAGGGTTTTTCTGGGTGGCATACTGAGCAGTCACATAATTTACTGTAATATGTGCTCTGACACAGATAATGACAGCATCTCATAAAACTGCTCACACAGTAGAAGGACCCATCCTCATTTTTTCATACTGATGCACATGAGAAAGCAAAGACTAATTGCCTTTAGTGAAACCAGTGAGACTGATGAACAGCCATGTCCAGAGAAAACCACATCAGAATCTGATAGAAAAGAAACACCCTGCTGAAATGTCCCTTGACACTGGTTGAGCTACTTCACTACCTTTATACTGGATTGGAATTTCAAAACAAACCAAACAAATCCATTTGAGAGTGTTAAAAGGAATAACGGTAAAATTACATGTTTATTACAGTAATTTACATTACTGTTTATTACAATAAATTACAGTGATGGACACTAGGTAGTGACAATAAAGGGGTGGTACAATTTTAAACACAGAGAAACTACCTCAGCCAGAGAAAGTACCTCAGCCAGAGACTTATCTCCCTGTGGAACACTATTCTTTTCCATCAAAAATAACAGCCCTACATGGCATCCCACACCAATTAAAGTGCAATAAGGCATTAATAATTGACATGGTATTGGCTAGCTAACCCAATTTAAATCACATGTTTAATTAGTGGAACCCTCACCCTATTCCTGGGTGTGTTTACACAGTCATTTTTCTTTCTAGTGAGAACAGTAAAAGGTCAACATGATTAGCGATATACACCACCTTTACAAGGCTCCTTTCAAGATCAGCAAAGGGCAAGCAGGAAATTTCATTATGCTTAGAGGTTCAGATATCTTATAGGGCTCTTAAAAATCTAGACTATATGACAAGTGATACAGCAATGTCACATCCACCCTGTTCTGCCAAGCAGTGTGAAGCCAGTTAGAGAAAACAGCCAGGGGAGAAAAGAAATCCCATGCTGTCTTTATCCCTTGCCACTGGTTAATCAGGGAGCTCCAGAGGCCCATGACAGAAGGCATTCTTCTATGGCTATGTATTAATTTCAGGGAGCCACATCTGGGCCAGGCTGACGAATCTGCCCCCTGAGTCCCTGGAGGTCCCTCAGCAGTTTAACATTGTGCCAGGTTGTCTCTACTTGCTGTTCTGGCCAAAAACAACAAAAAGGTGACAGCTGAGCTGCAAGTGCAAATGTGATTGCCAGCTAGCCAAATCACAAATACCAAATACCGCTCTATGATTTCATCATTGCTGACTTCTGACACTAAGGGTCTTTACTGCCTACCTCTTCCATTTATCTGTTTAGATGACATGCATTTCAATGTTCCATTTGAGTTAACATCTTCACATCTCCAGCATTTTCTTTAAAAGTCAGTATACTGTATGTTTGTCTTTAGCTGTGTACACTACCTGTGGTGAATGCAAATGAGGTCATGACTTGTGGTTGTGTCCATAATGACCACAATCATCTGCATGTAACATTTAAAACTAAAAGATGAATATTGTCTAATATTTTGTGGTTTTGCCAAAGCTTTGTTTGGACACTATGAATATTCATTTAAGACTGTTTTGATTGCTCGAATCAACTTGGTTAAAAAATTTAATTAACCTTTTTGAAAAACTGTTAATTACTAGTTGGGAAATAGCATGAAGAAAAGTACATTTTATGTTCTCCTACTAATCTCTCTTACCAGAAACAGAGACTTGTGGACAAGTCTTTTTGCCTCACAATAATTCCAAAAATATTTTAATGAAGTCTTTTAAAAGGCACCTTAGGTTATTTCCAATCAAATATTGTGGAATCTTTGAAAGGCTATGCATATTTTTACTGCCTGGTTCCATACATTTTTATTGTTTGGCTAAAATTACATGTTCATTATAATGTAGATATTCAGCTGTCATGATTTAACAGTTTCACTGGCTTTGACTCCAGTGCATAAATGAAACGCACATTAGTACAGCGGCATCTGGAGATAGAGTTACATTATTTTGGTTAACCGTCAGAATAGTAGTAGTCAAATAAACAGTAGTCGAGTAATACTCGATCAAAATTTAATTAATGGTAAGCTCTATAATGCACAGCCTCTTTGTGACAGTATCTTTTTAAGGAAGTGTAGCAGTACAGACTCATCAAAATATTACTACTCTAAAGCAGAGATTTATCATCTGTTACCAAAAATACAGCGGTCTGGACTTCTATTACAATAAACATAATCTTAGATATGATTATGACTATGTAATGCACGCTTTAGAGATGTACTTACGCTACTAAAGTGTTATTGGCATAGATAGGTTATGGGTATTAGTATATTTTTGTTAGCATGTATTACCCCTGTCATATAGCCTAAACGTCACTGCCTTTTTAATTAATCTCCATTAACAACTAACAACGCATCGAATGCTTCTTAGTCAGTAACGTGTAAATTTTACTGTCACCGTCAATGAAACACTTATTGAGACTGAAAAGTAAGCTACCTAGCTAGCTACTACGACTTCAACAACATTTCCGAAGCAACTTCATTGACTGGCAAAAAGCACAGCTAGCCTAACCGTTCATCTTGTACCCTATTTGCAAGTCAGGTTTCATTTATCTTAGATTGACTAAATAGTGCAACACAAAAAGATCTGTGACATATACAGTGTGTTAAAATGAAAGAAATCCGTTATCGAAAGGTCGTAAAACATCGCCACAGTGAGAGCACCCTACGAGAGGGCGATGGCATGCATCAAAACGGCATGCAAAATAGGTCACATCCATTACCGCTTAAGACAATGGCAATAGCGAAAACTCAACAGAATCACATAAACTAAAACTGCACAGAACAAAATTTACTTTCAACTGCACCGTCACAGAGAGGTTACTTCACAGTTCGGTTAAACATACAAACCGTCCATTTTTTCAACTGATGTAGGTGGTTCATCTCAGTCTGGCGAATGAGCCGACAAGCAGACAAACAAATAAGATGCATGCGACAACAAATGGGATTCTTTTGCTTAAACTCATGTAATGTCAGCTACCGTAATAGAACGGACATTTGACAACAGACATTGGGGGTTATGGATCTGCCTAACACAATGCTATAACGTTGCTTATTCAGTGTTGTAGACAACTGGTTGACCTGCTTAATCATGCAAACAATATCGAAGCATCAGACAGAAATCACAGCTTTGTGTACGCTGTATTAAAAAATAAACATAAAGGCAAAACAGCTCCTTAAAAAGACAATCACGTTCCCTAACAACAGATCCAGTGACGTTACCTCGGAACGCAGCTTGGAGAAGAACGATCAATTTCCCACGTAGCAAAAAGGTTCATAGGAACAGGCATGGGTCCCGAAACCGCCGAACCAGCAGCTCCAGCCATGGCTCCGGGTGCAACGAACACGGGCGAGGGTGCAAGGCCACCAACACCCCCTCCGGTGCCTGGATTCAAGAAGGCGGCCCGAACCCCTCCTCTCTCTACAGCCGCCGCCATCATCGCCTCTCCCTGGTTGCAGCTCAAGCTGTCTAGCAGTCTCTGGCTTGCTCACTCACTGGCCGCTACCTCGACCACGCTTTCCAACCCCTTGTTGAAGCTCATCTGGGACGGGTATATACAGATAATACTCGCAACAGTCAGAGGCGGAGCTTCATTCAAGGGAAAATACGGACCGTTACTGTCTGTGGACGCTAGAGGGCGTCATTTACGTTCTTATTCTAATTCAGTAAGCCACCATGACCGCGCATGAGAAAACACTGTTGACGTAACTTAACGTATTGATATTTGTATACCATTTACATCTCTGGAATATGATAAATCTTGATAAAAGATATAAACATTGTAGCCTATTAATCGATGCAATGTTTTCTTTTTCCAGAGACCCACCTTGAAACCTTGTGTGAATACCTAAGGCAAGAATCAGCACTATTCGCAGAACAATTTTATACATATATATATATATATATATATATATATATATATATATATATATATATATATATATATACACACACACACTATATGGACAAATGTTCTGAGACACCAAAAGGTGTTTTGGCCACACCCATTGCTAACAGGTGGATAAAATTAAGCACATAGCTTTGCAGTCTTAATAGACAAACACTGGCAATAGAATTGGTCGTACTGAAGAACTCAGTGACTGAAGAACATGACACTGTCATAGGATGCCACCTCTGCCACAAGTCAGTGTGTGAAATGTCTGTCCTGCTAGAGCCGCTTCTGTCAACTCCAAGTGCTATTATTGTGAAAAGGAAGCACCTAGGAGCAACAACAGCTTAGCCATGAAGCAGTAGACCACGCAAACTCACAGAGCTGGGCCGCTGAGTGCTGAAGCACACAATGCCCATTCTCTGTTGAATCACTCACTAATGAGTTCCAGATTGCCCCTGGAAGCAGCACTAGCAAAAGAAGAGCTTTACGAAATGGGATTCCATGGGTGAGCAGCTACACACAAGCCAAGATCCGTGTCTGGGCTTGGTCTTCTCTGCCGGTTGCCTATGAGTTTGTGGAAGTGCTACGCCTCTCCAGACTCCAGATGGGCCGCTATCCCACCGGGATGTAGACCAAGACACAAGGGAGGCCATGATTCCACCACGTGAAGTGCTCTTTATTACACACCAGGACAGAAAGGCACTGAACTTACAGTGGAAGTTCACCACTATCCACAGGCTTGACTCTGATGGTAGACCAACCCCCAACATAGAACACATTAACTAAACCTGCACCCCGACACAATATAACAACAAAATAAACAAGAAATAAATAAACAAGAAACAAAAGAACACAAACAATACACATCCACACCCCAAACTAATGAACATCAACAACACAGAAGGGCATGTGCCAAACACTTGCATGGCCACGTTCCAAGCCTCTGGCCAGTAGTGGGTCGCTACAATATGCTATATCTGGACAGGCTCTTGCAGAAAGCAAAGAATCAAATGCTTCTGCAGTTTATCTTTATCTCTAGGAACTATAAAGGTTGATGAATTCTTTGACTTTGATTTTTAATATCTCAGACCAGTGGCTTCTAAACTGTGGCCTCCTCCAGAGATGCAAAATTTGTGACTTTACAAAAGTTGTTTATAGAAAAAAAAAAAGTAAAATGCCCAACCACCCTTTCTGTTTTTTTTTTATCAAAACTTTTTTTTAAAGGAACCAAATAATGAAATTTAGTGAATTTTTACATTAACCTCAGCCAAGAAATATTTGTTATCCAAAATATGCTGAGCTAGTTTTGCAGTGGAGTGACAAGGCTAATGTAGTTTAAGTATATGACACTCAAAAAGATTTTAGGTGATATAGACTTCCATCATTTTTACTGGCTGATCAACTACATTTGGGATAAATAAAAAAAATAATAGTCAATTTCATTTTTATTTGAGCGAATCCTTTAAAAGGGGTATGCTGAAAAGGCTCACCAAGTTGTGGAAAGTTTTGAAACCACTGGCTTACACCATTGATATCTGTATAGAGGACATATACAAGAGAGACTACTGCCATTATTGTTCTCCCCTTAGTCCTTAGTAGTAGTCATTCCAAAGTTCTTTCACCAGCATGCACAGACATGTCCAGTCCTACCTTCCATTGAGCTCAATCAAAACCTGCTCCTGCAAAACAAACAACCCATAGCCCTTTGAGAACCTGTTTATTAGGAACAGACATCCACAACTTTTCACATGCTTTCTTTCCATAGTGTCAGGACACTTGTCTGTGGAGGAAAGACAGACAAATAAAAACCTGAATTTATGCACTGCTTCACACATAAGGTGCTTGCATCCCCTCCACTGCACATGAACATAGAGTATTCAAGACTAAACTAGAATGATATTCTATCATTTTCATACTGTAAAAAAACTTTTTTTGGTTTGTTTACAGACACCTCACATCTATCTACAATTCATGTCCCTGTTGTGTATCAGCGTTCCCTTGGCTTTATAGGAAACATTTATCATGAATGTCTGCAGACTGGAGCCCAGGCTTTTGCCTTCCAAAGTGTGCATTTGAGACAAACTCTCCATTCACTTCCATTCATTTTGGGCTGATATCAGTCCAAAGATAATGGCACACCTGAGCCATTTTAGATCATCTTATGGCCCTGTCCTCTCCTAGAAAGACTGAACTGTCTGGTCTGTCATTTAATCCACAGGCTTGACCATCACTCAGAAGCTTCAACATAAACATTTATCTACAATAATACAAAAAATTATGTTATGAAGTTATAACTCACTGTACTGTAATATCTGAATAGAAGCTACAGAAGCTGCTCAATAATACAAAGCGCAGAGCAGGTTCCTTTACTACTACTTACTACAATAATGTTGCAATATACAATGCAATACAATAATTACAATAAGCCACATTATTAAAATTATTATTACTCATTTATTTGTTTGTTTATTATGATCATTATTATAATACATGTTTAGCAGAAGGATTCATTTTAGTTTCATTATGTGTTGAAAGTGTACTGTTGTTCTGAATGGTTGTGACGATTTATGTTCTATTCAACACATTCACAAAATATTTCTGGGTAGCTCCTACAAACAGTGAATTGTTTAAAAGTCATACTTCCATGAATGACAATGATATCACATGTAAACATAAAAATAAACAAGCACATTGATTCAGCAGTATAAGTGCAAGACAAGGAGGTTCTCAAATGAAGTAAAATTAATAAATAAATACATAAAAAGGGATGTTGTGGTAATACATAGTTTACTCTAGGTCATATATCTTGATAAAGGAAAGAAGCTTACAGATATTTTTACTCTTCATTAAAGATTGTACAAAAGATCAACTTCCTTCTTAAAAACCAAAAACAGTAGAGGGGTTTTAATATTCTACATTTGTGTAGAAAATACAACCCAATTTCCAGAAAAATTGGGCAAAATGTAAATAAAAACAAAATGCAATGGTGCGCAAATCATTTAAACCCTATATTTAATTGAAAATAGTACAAAGACAACACATCAAATGTTGAAACTGAGAAATTTTTATTGTTTTTTGAAAAGTATATGCCCATTTTGAATTTTCTGCCAAGAACACGATCCAAAAAAGTTGGGACAGGGGCATGTTTACCACTGTATTTCATCACCTCTTCTTTTAACAACACTCTGTAAACGTTTGGGAACTGAGGAGACCAATTGCTGTAGTTTTGAAAGTGAAATGTTTTCTCATTCTTATTTGATACAGGATTTCAGCTGCCAAACAGTTGTTGTATTTTTAATTTTATAATGCGGCAAATGTTATCAGTGGGTGACAGATCTGGACTGCAGACAGGTCAGTTTAGCACCAAGACTCTTTTAATATGGAGCAATGCTGTTGTAATACATGCAGAATGTGGTTTGACATTGTGTTGCTGAAATAAGCAAGGCCTTTTCTGAAAAAGACTTTTGTTTTTATTTACATTTTGCACAGTGTCACAACTTTTTTGGAAATGGGGTTGTATTTTGCTAAATAATAGCATCCAAAAATACATCATTACATTCAGTTTCACTAATGCTACGTTTAATCATATAAAATTCTAAAGTTACTACGTCAGTATTCTTCGAGGTGGACAAATTTTGGAGATCATTCTAGAAGGTATGTGAGTGAATACAGCTAAAGAAAATGTGTTTAGTTGTTTCAATATGAAAATAACATTTTTTTCAATTATTTTTGTCGATATGTGAAGCTCTTTAGCCATAGGTGGTATAGGAAATTAAATATACCTACACTCTTAAAAACATGGTTCTTTAAGGGTTCTTTAGCAAAGAGAAGTGTTCTATATAGAATCATGAACACTCAAAGAACCTTGTATAATTAAACTGTTGTTTGCATTGTGAAATAGATTGATGAAGATTGTTCTGTAGATGATTCTATATAGAACCTTTTTGAAAAGGGGTCTTTTATTGTTATAAGCTTGAGATCAAAAAAACAGAAGAACCCTTTTTGGTGTTATATAGAACCCGTTTCAAAAAGGTACTATATAGAACCATAAACAACACAACATCCATCAATCTGTAGAACTATTTCATAATGTAAAGAACCTTTTATCATGCAAAGGGTTCTTTGAGTGTTCATGGTTTTATATAGCACCATTTTCTTTGCTAAAGAACCATTAAAGACCCATGTGTTTACGAGTGTATTTTTCTTTTGATTAACAATATTAGTCTTACCTTTTGTATGATGTATAAGTGCACTTCATAGTTCTGCAATTGCAGATTGTAGTTGATCTGTTTCTCTGCATAATTCATTAGCCCTTTCAACTTGTTCATTCAATGATTAGGACTCCAACCAGGACCACTACAGAGAAGATTATTATTATTTCATTCTGAGCACTGCAGTGACACTGGCATGGCAGTATGTGTGGTACTGGTACTAGTGTTTTGGATACAGCAATGCTTTAAACATCTCTGTGTCACTGCTGGAGTCAAAACAAAACAAAAAAAAAGACCAACAGCGTCCTGTGGCCAGAGTCCTGTGATCACTGATGAAGGACTAGAGGATGACCAACACAAACTGTGCAGCAACAGATGAGCTATTACATTTAATTTTACATCTACAAGGCGGACCAACAGGGTAGGAGTGTCTAAGAGACTGAACAG